AAACTGCAGTCAAGAGCACACAAGCCAGCAGTGCATGTCAGCAGGTAAGAGGAATCATCAAAGCTTATTATGTCTGGTGTTTCTGTTTAAATCTTCTTTTTGGGATGAGTGAGGTAAAACTGTACAATGACGTGAGCAAAATATCTGACCAAACACCACCACCGCCTTTTTCAAAGAGATATCTAAGCCACACAGTGGAACAATGGACCCTACCGCCCTGCTTCTGGTCACTGAGTGACTCCACTATGGCAACAGGAGGCTTTAAGAGCTGAGAGCGCCCCTGTTAAGCTGAAACTATTATTTTATCAAGTAAAAACAAACCCGCGATGAAAAAGAAACTACTTCGGCAGCATATGCATTTTGACTTCATAATCTCAATGTTGTGTGTATGTTACACACTAACAGCTGATTCCACATTGTCTCCTTCGCTTTTTGCCAGATATTCTAAGTATCCCGATCACGTTCAAAACAGCCATTAATAACTTTGTCGGAGGTGGTTGCTTCTTTCTTCTGATTGGGCTATTGCTTCACTCACAACAAAATGGTAGACCCAAATCTACTGCTCATTTATGTAAAAGTTGATCCCAACAAACTCGCGTGGATGCCTGCAGAGATGTGACACAGGAGGTGGTAAATTCCAAGCAGCGCAGAGATACCTGCTCCAGCTGCAGAGTCAACATTTGAACTCGCAGATCTCGTCAGGACAACAGTGATCCCGATGCTGACAGCTTCCCCCCAAACCCTTAACAGGCGGTACTAAGCCCAGGTTCAACAAACAGCAAACCACCGCCGCGTGCCACGGGCCACATGACTCACACCTGTGACAGGTCCTCCGATCATAAACAGAAAAGCCGCTGCTAATTTACATCCAAGCATGGCAACAAAACCCCGGACACACGGATGGGACTTAAAGAAGAGTAACCACTTCCTAGGATTTATTTCCAGCTCTGAACTGGCGTGATGCCGCTTTAGAGGCAGCAATAATACAGAAGACTATATCGTGATGAGGGTAAAACATACGCCACGCATGATACGCACGTAGATGGCGCGGGATTTTAGGGCAGAATAGAGGTGAGTGTGTTTCACACGCTGACACTAGAGCCGTGCACATATGCGAGGCAACTTGATCCGTGAATCGGCTGTTGGCCCCTCGTCTAACGGAACAGTCCACCAAAGAGACACCTGCGAACGGATTCGCAGTCAAGTCGGTTTCGCTTCTGTCAGCGTGCGGTGGGGTCATTGTCGCAAGGCAACAAATTAAAGATAGAGGGGGGGGGGGAAACAAACGCTCACCTCTTTTGTGTTGACGACGCCTCTCACGTATTTCCCGAGGACTGAATCCATGCAGAGGACGCTGGACAGCACGGCCAGGCACAGGAGTCGCTCCCCGACCCTCACCTCCATCTTTCTCTCTCCTCAGCTGCCGCTCGTCTGCTCTCCGAGCTCCCAGAAGCCAGTCTCCGCGCGAGAGCGCGCGTTGACGGAGAGAGAGAGGAATCAGGCGCGCTCGCGCCGGCTGCCTCAATGCATGTGCCCCCCCTCCGGCAGGTGAAGCTGGATGGCGGTTGTTTAGGAGGGAGGGGGTGGCGGCTGCCGAGCGCGCGCACGGTTCCGCTCGTGCTTCGTCAATGCGACATGTCCACACGCTCAAAATGCCATGGCTGATTACAATCATGTTTCCATTAGAGGTCACGCACTTCTAATGAAGTTGCGCTGAGACAGATGCTGGTTGGTCTCCTGGCCCCAAATATGATATTACTAACCAGAAGAATCAGCGGCAACGTGACTCAATGGGCCGAGTTACTTGGAAAATTACCCATGAGAAAAAGATGGGGGGGGGGGGGGTTTCCATCATTTAGGTATAGGGCATTTTTAGGATGTAAAATGCTGTTACAATAAAATTACTATATGCAAACTTAAGTATTACTTTGTTACAGTTCCAATTGAAGTGGATGAAATAGAGCCAATTTACATATTTACTTGCGGTTGTGTTGTTCGAGTCACACAATCACCTTTATGACCACGTTGATCTGTAAAATAATTGTAGCAATCAGAAGTTCAGCAGTTTGAGAGCTTGCAGGTCTTTGCATGTGCAATGTGGAGAGAAGTGGCATCACATGAAAACACTCATGCAAATGGCAAGCGCCTCAAAACTACTTAAGAGTACTTTTTCCATTTCGCACCTCTCTGCAGAGAGCCGTCTGTGCTGTGTACTTTTGGTTTTAGATGACACTTTTTAGCTAAAGGTCACACTTCTTATTGACCTTTTCCAAAGTCTAAGCTGAATCAAAATGTTAGAAAAGTTAATTTAAGCAATTTCGTTGTCCAAAAATGTAATCCCGAATCCTAATTCAATTTGTATAAAAAGTCATCATATCTGATTGAATTATAACCAGTATGTCATAGTCTGTGACTTTTAGTTAACCTTTTGTGAGATCAATGATAAACAAAGGTTAATTCAAAAAATTTAAATACAAAAACAGCAGGGTTCATGTCAGAATTTTATTTGGATAAAAATCAACAAAGGAAGTAACTAGCCTGGCGCAGCAGACACATCACCCTAACGTGGAACCTGCAAAGAAATGCAGTCAAAAATCAATCTACAACCAATCTGATTAACAAATTTAAGTAAAAATATCTACATAAATCATAATGTTTAATATACATTCTTTTTATTCATGGGTTTGCACTTATGGTGTTTTTAAAGAACAGCAACAAAACAAACTTAAAAACATCTCACTTTTATAGTCTATGGCTTGTCATGTATACAAGCTTTTTTTTTTTTAAAGGCTAATCATATTCTACATCAGAACTGATGCAGTGCAATTTGCATATGGAGTGCAGGCAGACTATGACACTGACTAGCACCTGCATTTTCAATGAGAACAGTGAACATTAAGCAGTAATGTCAGCACATCTCTGTTACAAGACTCTGGCTTCAGTCTTTGGTTCAACTTGAAACTTTATCCATAAATGAATGACATGTAACATTTCTGCAAAGTGCTTAAAGTCAGTTTAACACAGAGGTGTTTGTAAAGGAAGCAAGCTTCAAGGAACCTACATATGAGCTGTGAAGTGAGTCAAACATATTGCACCAAAAAAAAAAAAAAAAAAAAAAAAAAAAAAAATGTGATGGAGGAAGAAATGTGATGGAGGAAGCAGGGAATGAAAAGAAAAAATATTGTGCTGGTGTGTAACTACACAGGTTTGCTGCAAATGTTGCTCCAATGGCTCATGTTTTAGCAGTATTGCACTTAGCATTGCATTTCACTGGAAACAGCCTGAGGCAAAGAAAATCTCTAGTGAATAGAGTCAAACTGTAGAGGTATACTGCACGACTTGAGACTGAATTAATAATAATAATAACAACAACAACAACAACAACAACAACAACAACAACAACACAGCTATATTAAACAACTACCACAGCAGCTGCTCATTAAACAAAATAATCAACACACGAGACAACATCAACCGAGCTTTAAATGAATCAATACTGAACAAAATATTTCAGCTAATAGTTGTAGGCAGCATTAAAGCACCAAACTGTTCAACAAAAGAAGCAAAAATGAGAATCAGCAAGCCTATGTCTGATCGGAACACCACAAGGACTCCCTGGTCCACCGCCTGCACTCAGGTTAGCCTGATGCTCGAGGGTCATCAAGGATATGAGGCATAGGAAGGCCTATAAGAATTTGACACAATTTAAACAAAATCAAAATAAAGCAAGTTAACTCAAATTCCTTATAGAAGAAACTGCTAAAGGCCCGTCACCTTTGTTGTTCATCCTGTGCGGTGTTGACTTCAGTATGGATGAGGTTGTGTACATTATATCAGATAAAAACTGTTGTCTCACAGAGGCTTGACTACATTAGAGACACATCTCTCAACAACAGCTAATTAATACTATGAATAGTTTAGAGTGTGAAGTGCCATTCCTGTCTGATATGAACACAACACAAAGAGGTCGTGTTTCTCAACACGTAGCAGACAACTGTGATTATGTGTGCAGCCATTCTCCATTTCAGCTACAGACAGAGGCACAGAGCGGGGAGAGGGGAGGGAGGTGACATGTTCAAGCTTTGCTTAAATTAAACTTGTACTGAGCGACAGTGCAACTACTGCAAAAGTGCACAGTGAGCATAAACAGCGGCTAGTAAAGCAAACACTTGCTTCAGCCCAGCATCTCGGAAAGAGCGACTGTATAACTTTCTTCCTCTTCTCGGTCCTTGTTCTCTCCATCAATCTGACTAAAAATACAGCAGTAAGTACTTGAAGCTGACAACTGAGTATGGTATAATCCTGTAGCATGACTTTCCTACTGAAAATCCTGCTCTTCAACAGGGGGAGGATTTTGCTCTCTGAGCATCAGCTAAATCCAATTCATCACACAGCATCCCTCTCTACAGACCTGACAACCCCAGCCCTCTTACCGGGCAAGGGCAGGACAGTGCCAGCATTGTTGGCATCTATATTTACTTAGACGTGATAGAGGGACTGACCCTACAAAGGACATTTTTGCATACTTAAAAGTGTTTTGATAGCAACATGCAAAAGGGAGTGTCCTCAGGTTATCGTAAACAAAGAAACGCCCAAATCTGACAGTGGGGAGCTAAAATTATATATATATATATATATATA